TTTTTTTTTTTTTGGAACTGGGGATTTGAACTCAGGGGCACTCAACCTCTGGGCCACATCCTCAGCCCTATTTTCTATTTTATTTGGAGACAAGGTCTCACTAAATTGCTTGGTGCCTTGCTTTTGCTGAGGTGGCTTTGAATTCCTCCTGCCTCAGTCTCCTGAGCTTTCTTTTGTAGCATATATTTTCAATTCCATTTTATCTTTCCTGTTGACTTTTTTTTCTGTAGACTTTTATGAGCTACAACTCTGTTACTTTAGGATTTATAATATACATATTTAATTTATCCTAGGTTCAAAGGGTAGTATATTGCTCTACAAATCGCATAAGAACCTTATACAACACACCTTCATTTCCTCTTAGCCTGGTATTTAATATTTTAAATATTAAAAAATGACAGTAGTATAAATTTGTTTGCAATGAGTAATCACACGAGGGGGACCCACAAGCACATCAGAAGGTCCATCATGTCTTTAGAATGTGGATAGCGGAGGATTGGCACCTGATGAAGAGGTGGAGTCAGAAGTAACTCCAGCTGAGGAGAAAGAGCAAGTAGGAGGAGGATGAGCCCACCTGTCCAGGTGAGTCCCAGGGGGGCCAACTCAGAGAAACTAGACAGGACAGAGCCATGGGCTGAACGTGCTCCTTCCCCACTGTAAGTGCTGTACCCGTGGCAGCCACATGACCACCACCAGGAAGGACTTCCACATTCTGGCAGGCAGTGGTCCCCACTGATGTGTTTGGTTCCTGCCTGGTCATCTTAAAGTGCTATCTGCCAGGCAGTAGGTCCTAGAGTCACAAGGATCTCCATCAGCTTTTTAATTATTCTACTCTTGAACATGGACAACCAACTATTACCAAACACATGTCAGTAGCAGATCAAGAGAAAATATGATCCTAGAGTACCAGAGGTAATTTGAGAAACAGAAAGAGCTCAAAGAGCAACTAAACATTTTTTAGAGATTCAAGAATGAATGACTATATTTAATATGTTTTACATCAAAAATAAGAACAAGATGTTACGAAAATTATAGAAGGAAATAGCTTTGGCAAATAGGTTTAGAAAATTAAAACAGAGAATATCTCCAGAGGTGGAATCAAAATGTAAGATAACATGAGAGAAAAGGATCATAGGAGATCCATTTCTGAATTCTAGAAAGGAGATCAAGAATAGAGAACACAGAGGGCTGGGGACGTAACTCAGTGGTAGAGGGCTTACTTAGTGTGCTCGAGGCCCTGGGTTCATTCCCCAATAGCCCCCAAAGCAAAACACAACAACAAACAATAGCAAACACAAGAGAAGAAAAATCAAAATCTCCCTGAGCCCAAGAATGAAACTGAAGGATGTCCCTAGTTTAAAAGAGTTCACTGAATGCCTAACTTGACAGATGTCAAAACATCCTTGCTGTGAAAGTACATTACATCGGTAACAAACAACTCCTAAGTGCTTCTAAAGAGGAAAACCCAGTAACCTACAAACAGAGGAAACTCATACTGGTAGCAGACTTATCAACAGTGGTTTTATTGTAACTAACTTGCCTTTAAATTCGGAAGAAAATGAATTTTATATCCAGCCAAACTGTCATTTCAGATACAAAAAAAAAAAAAAAAAAGGGATCAAAAAAAAAAAAAACCAAAATAACTTTCTCTTTTTTAGGAAATTATTTGAATATGTATTAAAGAAAATGAATATGTACAACAAGAAAGTCTAGAAGGAAATAACATGTCCATCCCAGCAAAATAGCCAAGTCCCAGATATCTACTAGATAGAGGCCAACAATCAGTTCAGATTTGGTGCAGCAAACAGAGGGTTCTAGATAGTAGATCTGAAAAAAGAAATTCTGACCGAACAATTGACCAGACATGGCAGTTGAGGGGAAACTAACACTATGATAAAACCAAAGGGTGTAAGAAAAAGGCAACATGAACTTCTAGGAAAAACAAAAAGCTGGGTAAGAAAGAAAAGGTAGGGGCTGGGCTATAGCTTGTCTAGCACATGTGAGGCCCTGGGTTTAATCCTCAGCACCACATACAAATGAATAAATGGAATAAAGGTATTAAAAAAAAAAAAGAAAGAAAAGGTAACCATGATACCTTCTTCCCTTGGTTTTTGCAACGAATAGAAGTTAGTTACAATAAAACAAATCTTGTTCATTAACTTTCAATTTTTAGACTCAATATCTAGAAAATATTTGGAAAACGTGACTGTGGTTATGGGACAACGATATCGTCTCAATATTCAGACACCAAAAGTGCAGGTTAGAGTTTCGGGGAGATAGAAGGCAGAGAGAAAAGCTAAAGAGAACGAAGGAGCTCTAAAAATATCTTACTTTGTGGAGTATCAAAAGATACTGTCTTGGGCTGGGGATGTGGCTCAAGCCGTAGTGGGCTCGTCTGGCATGGGTGGGGTGCTGGGTTCGATCCTCAGCACCACATACAAATAAAATAAAGATGTTGTGTCCACCAAAAAATAAAAAATTCTCTCTCTCTCTTTCTTTCTCTCTCTCTCTCAAAAGAAAAATACTGTGTAAAGTTTATGAAAATAATAATATGAGTATATTCAGTTTATAGGAATCAGCAGATCTAAAGCAATTGATGTTGGGAGGACCGGGAGACTGCCTGGTACCTTTACATCAGCAAAGAACTGATAAGTGAAGAATGAGCTTGTGAACTTGCAGAGATAAAAAGGTAATTAGGCAGAAAAACGGTTCAAATGGAACAACTGCAGTGGCTTCCAGGAGTTGACCTGAGGATGTAGAGATCCTTGTTTTTCGTCACTGAATAAGCTCTTCAGTACCCTTGAGATATCTGCACATGTCTTTGATAAAGTTGAAAGAATAT